CCCAAGCTCTGGTGGCATTCTTAGGGAGGGCGTGAGCTCCTGGAGAGTGGCCTTGTGGCCTCACTGGGCCTCCCTATGAGGACCAGGGTGCACATGCCACTTCGATTGGATGGAACTGTGGAATCCAGGACCCAGGACTCCTTCGGTAGCCCTAGCAGCCTCCCCCCTGGGGTGGGACAGAGCACATGGTGTGTTTACATGGACTCTTGCTCCTTCCTCTTCCCCAGAGAGAACACTCACTTTCACATCTGACTTCGGATGCAAGGCGTGGGAAGGGCCCTCAGTCCTGTAAGACCTCGGTGTTTATTCCACACGGGCCTCCACAGCTTAACAAACAGGAAAGTGCCCGCAAGAGGGGGTTACGGCCACGGCTGCTTCACCTGGGCCTAGTCGGCTGGGCCTGCATCCACCCCCTCCACTGCACCCTTCTTCAGCCCCAGGAGCCACGAGGAGGACCACCTGCCTTGCCAAACAGGCCCCAGAGGTCGGGGGATTTCTGAGAGCCTTCCAAGGCACGAGGCCTAGAAACCGCTTTGCCGGGTCTGCTAGGCCTGCAGTTTGGGAGCAGGAGTCCCTTTCCCCAGCCTCAGGGCCGGCCTGTGCTTGAGGACTGAGTGCAGCTGTGCGTTTCTCAGCGGCTGTGTTTAGGTCATTGCAGTTCATCTGGTGGGAGACATCACTCCTATTTCACTGGAACCTGTGACATGCCCTGCTGGGTGACAGTGGAGCTGGGACTTTGGCTCGGGTTTCTCACTCTGGGCCAGTGTGCATCCACTCTGAACGACATCACCATGCAGGGTCAGTGGTGTGGCCGTCCCTCTCCCAGAATGGCTCTCGTCAGGGTGTGAGAGGGCCCATAGGGGCCCATATCCCAGGCCTTCCGGTCTCAGGGACACTCCTTGGTTGTGCTTTTGGCTCTGCCCGGGTGACTGTCCTCCTCGATGAAGACCCCGAGTCCTAAGGAGCCAGACGCCTTCACGTCCTGCCCAGAACTCCCCCTGCTCCTCCCCAGGCCCTGAAAGACTTGGCTTCCAGACAGCTAAGAACGGACTCGGCCAGCACTTTGCTCATTGTGAGACACCATAACCCACTCTGCAGTGATGAGGCATCGAGCAGATTCCTCCCCTCCTTCCTAAGCAGGACCCAGCAGTGGGAAGTGGTGGTGTCAGAAATCAGATTTAACACGGATTGCGAGACCCTGAATGTGGCCAGATGATCGTACCAACACACATCTTCACAGAACTAAGCAGACACTGCGTGCTCACCTCTGTGCCGGGCCCTGGAGAGGCGGGGAGGACCCTGACGTGGCGGGAAGCAGGGCCCTGGCCGACGAGTCCCTGCCATCCAGGTGGGGATGCGTGGCAGGACACAGGACAGAATAGATGGTGGTTTTCCCATCTGTAGGCAGGACTGGCCACAGACTGTTTCTAGATTATCTGAATTTAAAAATGCTCGATAGGAATGTATCTTCGTGATTAAACTCATAAGCCTATGTGGCAAAAAGATGAGTATATAGATAATGTACATAAATAGATAATATCTAGAGATACAGATTATGTAATTAAGTGCCAAGTAAAGACTCCTGACTATTCAGAGAAGGGCAGCGGTGGTCATGCTGGGGCTTCTCTGAGGAGGACTGGAACCACTGAATTAAGACAGTGGGTTTTTTTAAAGTCTCAGAATCTTTTCTTCAAATGATGTTTTAGATTTATTCGGTATATGAAACAGGCCTGCCAGGGGCTGGGCTGGTTGAAGGGGTGGGGAGCCCAGGCTCGCCCCCCGCATCCCCCGGCCCCCATGGCCAGCAGCTTCCCCGAAGCCCTGCCCGGAAGCACCGTGTTCGGTGAGGCTCCGGCGTGTTGCGTGGGCTGGGAAGTGTTGCCCACCGGCCACAGTGGCCCACCAGCGCTCGGCCAGCCTTCTCGTACTGTTGTGGGAAGAACCAGGCCCCCCGTGTGTCCCGGCACACAGGATAGAGAGGGAGCCTGTACTTCGACAGAGGAGGGGAGGGGAGGGGAGGGGAGGGAGCCCAGTGGTGAACTAGAGGCATGCCGGCAGGTGTGCAGATGACCAAGTCCGCCATAGTGAAGAGTATCCTGGAGGGGTGTGTGTACAGCCCCCATGGGGACATACGGAAGGCCCGAGGGTGACCTCTGCTTAGGAGCTGGAGGGGAAGGGTGTGTCCCCAGCAAGGGCGATGACGTGCAGCAGGGCACGGATGAGTCTAGGAGCCTGTCCCCCAGTTCAGGTTGCTGCTAATACCCATATGAGTGGCACCCGGGCGCCCAAAGGCATCGGGAGGAGTGGCAGGAATGGAAGGTCGCTGCACAGAAGCATTTGGATTGATGTCATGGACAGTCCGGGCAGGTTTCTTTGTTGAGGAAGATCTCTCTTGGCAGTGCTCAGCTGTGAGACTAAGGAAATCTCAGGAGCTAATCTGGAGCCTCCCAGGATCCAGGATCCAGGAGCAAAGGATCCGACCAGAGGGTGACTGCCTGTTGGAGCGCTTGCTCCAGCCCAGAAAGGATGTGCTTTGGTTGAGAAATTCCACACTGGGTCACTCACGGTAATGGAATGTCAGCAGCCGCGAGGATAACAGCCTGTGTTGGTAGAAGTCACTGTCTGCCAGCTCAGCTTGCAGCCACTTCTAGGTGCATGGTGTGGTCGGGTCTGCCGCTCATGCTGGCTCTCTGGGACACACGGAGCAGGAGGGGGAAGGGGCCTAGCAGAGAGGAGCTGAAGAGGAGGCATGTCGGGGGAGATGGAGTGCCAGGGGAGTGCTTCTGGGCTGGGCTGCCCGGGGAACTGTCCCAGGAAGCAGCCTAGCCCAGCCCTGAGTGGCCCTGCCTAGATGTTCTTGACTTGACTTGAGCCTGGATATTCCCTGTGTCTGCAGGAAGGGGTTTTCACTCATCAGCAGCTGCTCCAGCGTCTGGTTCCCCGCCCCTTCCCACCTCTTCACCTCTCTCCCCCAACTCCCAACCCTGCCCCACCCCACCCTCCTTTTCATCACACACCAGCCCCAGCAAGATCTCTTATCTCTACCTTCCCTGCATTGAATCTGATCCACCTGATTACCACCTGTGATCACCTGATTATCTGGGCACTTTTGTCATTTTTAGCACCAGTGGTTACCTTGAAGGCTGAAATTGTGTCTTCTACTCCAGATTCCTAAAGCAGAGGCTCCTAATACTTACAGAGTGTTGGGACCCTTCGAGAATCCAGGAAGGGAGAGTAGGGATGGCAGGGCCCGTTTTCCCCAGCAGCTGCCCACCAGGATGCAGAGACCACATTCCTGCCCAGGCCTGTGAGGTCCACGCTGTGGGGACCATGCTTTCTACCCTCAGGACTTTGTAGGCCAGCTGGGCAATTCATTAGCAGATGTTTTAAGAAGGGCACAAGGCGTCCTGAGCGTCTGGGAAGGTGGAATTAAGGTCAGACTGGAGGGGGGATGAACATGGAGAGGGGAGGCTGGAGGGTGGGGGGCGGGGCTCCGAGTAAGGGAGAAGGTCAGAGGGGAAAGCTCCCAATCGGAGGCTGGCCTCCCCGTACGGTGTCTGCAGCCTCAGATCACAGGATGCGCGCTGTGTGGATGCAGGACTCAGCCTCTGTGAGGGCCTGTGTGCCGGCCTCGCATGGGCCAGCAGAACCACCAGGCAGCGATCAAGTACAGGGCCTGACAGTCACGTGCGTTTGTCCAACAGCGATGCCAGGATGAAAGGGTCTCACTGCTCACCATCCAGTGAGAACCGGAGTCGCAGCCTTATTTGGGCCTCAGCGGCTCAGCCAAGTTCACTGCTGCCCAGGCAGCTGGTGTGCATCAGTGCGCCTGGCAGGACCCACGGTATAAAGAATGCAGGACTTCCATAGCCGTTAGTAAACCGCCACTGCCTTGCATTTCCTGAGTGTCCCCAGCTGCATTGACCCTCCCTCCCCCGGGACCCCAGTACTCCCCGACAACTGAAGGGCCAAAACCTGGCACGGCGGGATGCCCAGGCCCCCCACACCCCACAGGTGTGTGGGTGGTTCTGATGAGCAGTGTTCTGCTGGTCTCCCTGTGTCCAGGGCAGAGAGAGGAAGTAGTCGGCCCCCCTCCTGTGGTCCTGCCTTCTGGGGGGGGCCGGCCCCTTCCCTCTCCTCCCAGCCCCCATCGGGGCCACATCCCCACATCCCACACCATCCTGACCTCAGAGGACTCTCAGTTTTCTGGTTAAAAGAGACTGTGAGGTTGCTCTCTCCCTTTACAGAGTGACTGTGTTCTCAATGGTGACCGGATAGGATCTGGTGGCACTTTAATCCTATTGCACATATAAGGGGAGCTGGCTATTTTCGGAAATCCAGTGAAGAATTCTTTGATAAAGTAGCACATGACTGTCCTCATGTATCCAGGGTCAGGAAACAGTCTGCAGTTCAACTGAGGAGATGTTAATTGAGCACTTACTGTGTGCTGCCCTTAGGGGACATTTCTGTGCCAGTTCCTTGCTTAGCTTCTTGCCTTGATTAAGAGTTGCCTTTTGGGGGCGCCTGGGTGGCTCAGTTGGTTAAGCGACTGCCTTCGGCTCAGGTCATGATCCTGGAGTCCTGGGATCGAGTCCCACATCGGGCTCCCTGCTCAGCGGGGGGTCTGCTTCTCCCTCTGACCCTCTCCCCTCTCGTGCTCTCTGTCTCTCATTCTCTCTCTCAAATAAATAAATAAAATCTTAAAAAAAAAAAAAAAAAGTTGCCTTTTGGGTTTGTCTCTGGTATACAGGGCCCATTGGGGCCCTGTGGGGCGTGCAGATACAAGGATGGCTACATGTTCATTGAGGACGGTGCATACTGTGGGTGTGGGAAGGAAGAACAAAGAAGACTCGTAGCCACACTTGACAGTGCTTCAGAGGCTGGGGCAGGAGGGTCTACGACGGGAGGCCAAGTGGATGAGGGGGACCGGCAGAATCCCTTGGGTTCTGACCTGGGAGGAAAGCCAGGCTCATGCGAACTGCTACTGTCCCGCCCCGCAGCCTGATGTTCACCAAGGTGAAGCTGGAGCAGGTACTGACAGGCCCGGAGGAAGCCCTCGTGACCTGCAGACAAATGCTGCGGCTGTGGCAGACGCTGTACAGCTTCTCCCAGATGGGGTGAGTGGCTGTCATCATCCCTGGGGTTGCCAGGGTGGATGGTGGCGCTGGCGGGTGGCGGCTGCCGAGGCAACAGCCCACAGCCGAGTGGCCATGATGCCTGGGGCTGGTGACGGTATTTGAATCAGAGTGTGCTACTTGCTGCTTCTGGGGCCTTTTACATCCGTAGGCTAATTTTAACCTTTTGACAATCCTCTGTGAGGACAGAAAGACGCTGCTCAGGAAGCGGAAGTTCAGAGGGGTAAGAAGGAAGTCATTATTGAGCGTCTGGGCCAGGCGCTGGGATGGCCGCTCATATCTTAAAACGCTGTCAGACTTTATTTTCAGCCCAGGAGGGAAACTAAGGCTCCGAGACCTTCTAGAATTTGCCAGAGTCACTCACCTGGTAAATGGTCGTGCTGGGGCTTGAACCTGGGTCCCTGAGTCCCAGCCCTTCTGAGCCCGGCGCTTCTTCCTGGCTCCATTTGGAATCCAGAAGAGGAAGAGGAAGCTGAGTTCCTGAAGGGCCTGCCCCACCTCCTCACCCCACCCCCGACTCACCCACCGTCTCCACGCATCCTGTCTCCTACCCCAGTCCCCAACCTGGGCTCCAGGTTTTTCCTGGGCCAGACTAGGCACTCTTGTCCAGGTTGAAGCTGCTGAAAGTCTTTGCTCAAATCCCCTCAGACACTGTAGCCCAAAGCAGGAAAGAGCCTTGTGCCAGGCAGGTTGCACTGCATTGTCCTGCTCCCCTGGTGCTCACCCCCTCCCCTTCCCTGAAATTGCTAGCTGTGTCATCTCCCAGAAGACCCCTTTTTGGAGATGTGTTTGCATTTTCACAGGGACTCTGGGAGCCCAGAAGGCTTTCACAGTCCCCAGAGGCATGTCTCTCTAATGGTGAAATTTACAGAGGAGGCCCCGCGGTAATCCACCGGGGTTAAAACCCTTGGGCAAAGTTGGGTCTGCCTCTTTTTGAAGGCCTTTGAAAGGCCTGGGAGATTCTAGGGCAGAGCAGGACCCAGTGAGTGGAAGCTGCCGGAAGGAGGCTCTGGGCTGAGGGACTTTTCAGAAAGGGAATGGGGAGCTGTCTGGCCGCTGGGTGGTGTGTGGGTGAGGCCCAGACTCTGGTGTGAGGGGGACCTGCCCTGAGATGCTCCTTGCTCAGCCGCTCACTGGCTGTAGCCACTTGGGCAGGTCTACAGTCTGGCTCCCCTTACGGAGAGGAGCTGTCCTTGGAGGTGGCAGGGACTTTCCTCTTGGCTGGATGGTGGGTTGCCTGCTCATCCAGGTGGTCTTGGCAGGGCCCCTCTGAGCTGCGGCCCTGTCTCCCGGCATGTGGGCCCCTGCCCTGTGCCTCCCATCCAGGCAGCAGATCTATTCTCACAGAGCCTGGGGCTGTAGGTTCACGCTGGGGTCATTTTAAGTCACCACCCACACACTCATCTCTGATATGAGGGCCCAGTGGAGCTCCTCCTAGGTTCCCTAGGCACCTCTTTTGGGGAACCTCCCATAGCTCCCCACCCAGGGCGGGGTAGGACTCAGCCGGGCCAGCTATCTGGAGTCAAATTGCTAGGATCAGAGGGCGGGATCCTATATCCTCTTGGCTTTCCCTGGAAGGGGGGCATTCTTTCTGAACCTGGAGCCACAGAGCAGAAACTAGGACTTGTGAAATCTGGTTTGGGGCAGGTGAGGCCAGAGGCCAGAATCCACAGCCTGAAGGTCTGGCCTACCATCCCCCCCAACCTCCCCCACCCCCCGCCACAGTCCTTCCTCAGCTCCTCCCAGGCCAGCCCACACCCCTTCGGCCCTGCTCAGATGCCTGCCTTCGCAGAGCCTGCAGGCACCCAGCCTCTGACGCTTCAGCTCAACCCTCTTGAACTAGGTCTTTCTAAGTGCTCATCATGGACTCTCCTCCCCACCTGGCCACCGGGTTCTTCAGGGCAGGAGCGTATGATGGCCTAGACCCAAGTGGCAAAAGGTCCCTGAGATGGGCTGTTTCCGGAGCCCTAGGGGTGTCCCTGTCAGGGGCTGGGAGAGCAGGTGGGACAAGAAACTGTCCCACCTGCCTCCGGTACTCCTCACGGAAACCTCGTGAGACCAACTTCCCCTATTTATTACGGCACACAGTAACAAGATGAGAAAACTAAGACTTGGAATGGCTAAGTAGCTTTGCTGAGGGTCACACAGCCGAGGAGGGGTGGCCCGCGTCTCTGGCTCCTCGGCACTGAACTCTGGTGCCTCCCAGGAGTGGAGGAGGGTGGGGAGGAAAGGCACCAACCTGGGCCCACTGTGTTTTGTGGAAGGTTTCCTCTAATGTCTGCACGATGGCCGTGCACCTGCAGGCCCCAGCTCAAGCCAGTGTGAGCCCGAGTTTAAATGGGCAAGGACGGGGCCCTGGCATTCTTGGTGGGACCATCGTCTGGGCACCCCGGTGAAGGGAAGAAGCCTCTGGCCCCAGGCTGGGCTTGCCTTCTCTCCTGCCATTTCCACTTTGGCCTTCTCGAAGCTTCCCCAGTTAGCAGGTTCAAGGGCAACCCCAGAAATGGGCAGGGGTGGCTGGGGCTGTGCAGCCTTTCTGAGCTGGAGGCTCCCCCACCTCCCAGTCTGAGAAAAGAGGAACCTCTCTAGCAGTGTGGGAGCCTCAAGGACCTGGGGAGACTACCATGCTTGTTTATCTGCCACCCCAGGCACCCCCCGCCGGCTCTTTTGGGGCCACCCTGGTGACCTGAGGAGAGTGGCATCTGGGGCTTCCTTCCCTGGGGGGTGGGCTGGGGGCATTTCTGGTGGCCCATGAAGACCAAGCTTTCCTTGGGAGCCAGACCTTGGTGCCCGCACTCTGCCTGGCACTCTGCTAGACATTGTGAGGGCAGCAAAAGGTAGCAGAGACCTCCTGTTGGCCTGGGGGAGCTTCTAGCATCACACACCTCAGAGGAGGGAGAGTTTCTAAGCCACGTTCTGCTGGCTGCATGCTGACGGAGGGCAAGGGAGGAGGCAGCTGTGAGGGGCCCTGGAGCCACAGGAGGCTGTCTGGATGGGTGAAGGGCACTGGGCTGAGTTGTAAAGGATGGAGGGTTTTGGGTGGACCAGAAGAACAGCGAGAACGTTCTTGGCAGCAGCAGCATGAGTAAATGTTAGCTGTGGGGATGAAATGTGTGGCATTAAGGAATAGCAGGGAGACTGACAACCCCACGGGCACACAGTGGCAGGGTGTGTGTGTGTGTGTGTGTGTGTGTGTACGCGTGCTGGGGATTCACAGCATATCATTGTAGCTGCTAGAGTGAGCCAGATTCTAGAACCCCAAGCTTGAGCTCTGATCTGTTCTGCCACTCTGGTGGTCTCCATCCTTCCTAGTGGTCCCAGCTTTGACTCAGTTCCCAGGCCTAAACTCTCAGCCCCGGAGCCTGCCTTGCGTAAGGCTCCCTTATTCTCCCTGCCAGCCCTCCACCTCACCGGGGCCTGGCCTTACCTTGCCTTTCAGAGGCCTGGAAAAGGATGGGAGCCTCGGCGAGGGCGTCACCCTGAAGAAGCAGAGCGGCATGCACCTGACTCTGCCCGATGCCCATGACGCAGACTCCGGTAAGAACGTGCCCGTGGGCAGCTGTCCATGTGGGTCCACAGCTCACTGTCCCAGCCTGAGCAAGAACGGGGAGAGTGGCATCTGCCTGGCCTGGCCAAAACCACCCCGCTCTCAGCCAGCTGCAGCCCCAGAGCCTGGTGCTGAGGAGCTAAGGAGCTGCCATTGGGCACCTTTCTGGCACCTTCCCACCCATCCTGGCTCTGGGGTGGAAAGTGAGCAGCTGAAGCAGGCAAGGGGCGGGGGGGCGGTTGCAGAGAGGAGAGCCAGGGCGGAGGGACAGCTGTAGAGCTCAGAAACTGTCTCCCTTTAGGCTAAGGGTCTACCACTAAAGTGTCCTTAGTAGACAGAGTCAATTAGAAAGGAATGAGCTGAGCGTCAGTTTACAACTCTAAGCCCAGAGTGGACTATTTCAAATGAGGACTGATGAAAGCAGAATAGCAGAGGCGCAGAAAGAACTAGTCACAGGAACAGAGTGTGAGGGAGTTGTATTTAGTGGCATTGCTTATTCGGTCCACTTCTGTGGACGTGAGCCGAGTTGCACCTTTGTTGTCCGTGATGGAGCTGACTGCCCATGCCTGGCGCCGCACCTGACTTCCAGGCACATCCGACGGGCACTGGGCTAACTGTGGAGCTGCTGACTCCAAAGAGGGAATGGTGAAGAAGGGCATGGCGCCCTCGCAGAGAAGGGGAGACGAACCACGAACAAATGATTAGGGCTCCACGTGTGCTCGGCTCAGAAACTGAAACCTGTGGTGTGCCCCGAGGTCTCCTGAGTTGATTGGAGCCTTTATTGCCCCTGAGAGAGAGAGAGAGAGAGGAAAAAAAGTGCTCGCGTTTCACCTGCATGTGAAGCGTAAATGTCTATGGCTTATATATCCTGAGCAGGGACCCGAGTCACCCAGAACTGCCACGGGGCAGAGCACACAGGGTCCGGCCCGAGCCCCTGCTACCCAAGGATTTAGCACAGCGCAGCCTCAAAAGGGACCTTCCTATAGAAGAAGCAATAATACGCACCTGTGAAAACAGAAAGCAAAGAGAAGGGAGAAGAGAAAAATCCTCCAGTCTTACCACCCAGACCTTAATAATGGCCTTTCAGACCTTTTTCCCAGGCCCCTATTTCTTTCTTAGAAAAATGTGATCGTACCATTTTCCAGCTTGCTTTTTTTTCACCTAACTGTGTGCTGTGAGCATCCTTCGGCATCCATCTCCGTATTTCTGAGCCATTAGTGTGATGGCCGCAGGGTCTTGGATGATGATACCCACACGTATTTTGAATCACTCCCCGTTGTTGGACATGCGGGTCATTTCTGTTTTCAGTATTCCAGGCACCTTTGCCAACATTTAGGACTGTCTTCTTCAGTGATAGACTCCTAGGAGTGGGCTTGCTGCCTGGTTGCCCCTCCTAAGCTCCTCATGCCAGCCATGACTGAGGGTACAAGGAGGGCCCTTCCCAGTGCGCCCATGAGCTGGTTTGCGACTGCTCAGCCGCCTCCCCTCTTGCTCTGCAGGCTCTCGGCGGGCATCATCCATCGCAGCCTCCCGGCTGGAGGAGGCCATGTCAGAGCTGACTGTGCCCAGCTCCGTCCTAAAGCAGGGCCCCATGCAGCTGTGGACCACGCTGGAACAGATCTGGCTCCAGGCTGGTGAGTGTTCCCGGCCCCAGTGACAGCCACCTGCCTGCAGGGCTCTCAGAGCTGTGACCTGCCCTGGAGGAGGGTGTGGGGGGCTGTGAAGACCCCTGACAAAGCCTGCATAGACTGCAGTACTCACGGAAAGGCCTGGGGATCAGGAACCTGGAGCTCTCGTTCCACCTCTTTCTTTTTTGCTTGGCCCAAGAAGAGTCGCTTCATCTGTCTGGCTGTGGGTTTCCTTCTCCACCGCGTGGGGACAGGGCCTGCCTGCCTGCCCACCCTTGGGGAGGCTCTCTGGCAGCAAATACGAGTGTGAGCAGATTTGAGGAAAGACCACACAGATGGATAGCCTTCTTAGTCTCAAAGACAGGCCCTGTCCGTCCTTCTTGCCCAGCCTCTCCTGAGTAAAACTAGTTAGTAAAACTAGCTCAAGCCCCAGAGAGCTCACAGAATGGCTAGAGAAGAGGGGAGGTCTGGTGGTGTAGTTCAGCAATGGCGGAGGGCTGGTTAACACCGAGGGGGCCGTTCAGGTGACAGTCCCTCTTGACAGGTAACTGGCACCGTGGCCACCATGGAATGTGAGGGTCAGTTACTGCTGGGGACACGGGCAGCTTCAGGATCACACAGGGCTGGGTTCTAATGCTAGCCCCCTACGGCCCGTCCTGATCGTGAGTAAAGCGGTCAGTGCCGTGTGGGGCACGTAGTAGGTGCTCAGTGAAACTCCTCCCCTGTTTTCTTGTTACCCTGATGGGTGCCCATCTCTCCCCAGGGGCTGGCGCCTACAGCCCCCCAGGGGAGACGCAGAAGAGACTGCAGGTAGAAAGTTCCTGAGCCGAGCAGACACTGCAAGTCAGAGGCTAAAAATGGTTCACTGGGGATCTGAGGCTTCCCGCTGCCTGGATTTCACATATGGCCCCATTAGCATGCGGTACTCCCCCCCGCCCACCAGAGGTTCTGAATCTGGGGGGAGAAATTGGATCAGGATGCACAGGCTAAACAGGGAAGCATTTTAATACTGCAAACATTGCCCCAGTTAGCATATCAGGGTCCCTCAGGAGGCTAGGGATGTGTGAGGGCCCTGCTCCCCAGCCAGCTTGTTGCATCCTAAGTAGCGAGAGGAATGTTGAAACGCCAGAGGGATACAAAACAAGGCCTCCCCTTAGGCAAAGAGCCCCCTTCTTCTAACACATGGAGCCAGCACGGCTCCCAAGGGGCACACTGGAGCCCCAGCCCCCTCCATGTGCCTGGGGTAGAAGGCTGTACCCACACTGGGCCTTCACCATGTGGATCAGTAACGCGGTGATCAGATCCTGGAGTTGTGCGTTGCCTACTCTGGAGCTAGCAAGGCCTTAATTTTACTGATGCATGTTGTCTACTACCATCAGCAAATGAACACGTGTTTGCATTTCACAAGCCTGCTTTCCATTGCTCAGGTATGCAGCTTTATGCACAGGGTGCTAGTATGTTCTGGTAACTCCAGGGATGGTTAACTCATGGCCTTCATGAAACTTGTAATCAGGCTTGGGAATTATCAGTATAAATATGCCCTTCAGTAATTTGCACATTAGCCTTTGTTCTCTGGACATTATCCTAGATATTCAGCCCCCAGAGAACTCTGAGAACAAAATCTGAATGCTTTTTTTTTTTTTTTAAGATTTTATTTATTTATTTGAGAGAGAACGAGCACATGAGAGGGGGGAGGGTCAGAGGGAGAAGCAGGCTCCCTGCCGAGCAGGGAGCCCGATGCGGGACTCGATCCCGGGACTCCAGGATCAT